CTAAGTCTATGATTATTATTAGCTAACTGCTCATGCAAGCAAGCGGCATTCCGCTGACAGCAGTTAGAATCCCGAGCGGTATGCTCTAAGAGTGGCTATTTATGCCACATGGGCTGTAAAATTCCCCGGCTAATTTTATTTGTGGTGGCGCAACTATATAGACCTCATGGAGGCCGTCCACAAATGTACTTTGATAAGGTTCTTGTTTTTAGTCGTGCTACGAACGGTCGATATTATGTGGATAATCACATCGATCACTTATGAGCGCTGCTAGAATGCATGCGCTCGATTAGATTGTATAAACGCATTTTAAAGCATCTATAATGCAGAAGAGTTTTCTTTTCTGAGGTGTTTCATTGGTAAGCGAGGCTTTTGAGCAGAACTTGCTAAGGAACGAGCCATTATAGATAATCGGTTCCAAAATTAAAAAAAAACTACGTAAGTAGCTCGGCCTTAACAATTTCTTGCACAATAATAGTGTCAATTACGCAGATATGGCTCGGCCATTTCCAATCTCCTTTAGAAAGGATGTGTATTGGTGTTGGGTTTTCCTAACACGATGCTTTTAAAGCTGTTATGGAAAGTCTATTTAATGCACCAATACTGTTTTTGCTAGATCCTGATCGGCCTTTAATTGTTGTATGTGACGCATCCGACTTTGCCATTTGCAGTGATTTGCTACAAACTGATGTCAATGGACGCGAAGGCATCATCGCATTCGAGGCTCGACAGCTCAAAGCTTTTAAAGGGACTAAATAGTTCTCAGCAAAGAGCTATATGCTATGAAGTATGCTCTAGTCAATTTTTAGAGTGCATCTGCTTGGCTCAAAGCTATTCGTGATCTATACAAATCATGCGTCATTGCGCACTGCGACACAATCGCCGCATCTCTCTCACTGAGTGGCTCGTTAGCTTTCATTCTTTGTTTGACATAACTTCGAGGTGAAGTGTAAGCCGGGCATAGCAAAACGCTTTGGCTGATGCGCTATCGCGCCGACCTGACAATGAGCTTGCTCACGTCTCTAAGCTGTCAGCGTCGCTCACTGACTTAATCCGTGGGGCTTATGCCAAGGATGAACAATTTGAAGATTTGCTAGGGGTCTTCAATAGCGAGAAGTTTAAAGGATCGGACGTAGAATTGTCGGCACGTTCACGTGCTAGGCTACATCAATATTAAATCGATAATGGCCTGTTGTGCTAATGCACAGATATTGAGGATACCCCTCGTATCGGTATACCTCATTATAAGAAGTTAAAGTATCTTATTTTCTGTGAGGCACATGATACCGCTTTATGTGGTCATCTCGGTCGCGAGAAGACCAATAGCTCAGTAAACCAGGCTTATTATTGAGCCCAAATATACAATTGGGTGATCAACTATGTGCGTACGTGTGTAACGTTTCCAATGGTCAAACCCTTAGCACATGCGGCGGAGCCGCTGGATATTCTGCTCGTACCCACTGGGTGTTAGGAGTTTAGGAGTTATGAGTATGGACTTTGTGTTTGGCTTACCAAAAGATTCGGTAGGCAACACTGGCATTGTGAAATTTGCTAGCCGTTAAAGCAAGATTGGTTATCTAGCGGCAGTTCCAGAGTTTTCTAAAGCCAAAGGTGCAGCGAAGCTGTTCATTGACCATGTGTTTCGTCAAAATGATTTGCCAGTGCCCATTGTCTCTGATCGTGATCCAAGTTACTGTGGTGAAAGGATTTTTCGAAAATGATGGACTTAAAGGTCGACGAGCTGGAAGGACAAGGGACCTCGAGGCCTGTAAAGAGACCGGAGACTCAGGGGCCACAGGGATGGAGCGGAATCTGGGTCTAACCGTGTCGTGCGGTTAAGGTTACTGCTAACGGGGTCAAACCGACCAGCGGTACCCGTTAAACGGTACCGATATGGATCGTTCTCAACCACTTGTCGGTTCGCCTTGGTCGTTCAAGAAGGACCGCGATTCCCCGTAGGCCGACCTGTTCACCCATAGGTCGACTTGGCCTCTCAAGTTTTAATTGCTCGTGTCCACTCATCATAGAGAGTCCAGGTGCAAAGAAAAAATAGAGTAAAGGAGTTTAAAGGATAGGATGACATTAAATCTACTCAAGTTGCGATCTAAGTCGCACGACGTCTCGTGCGCTAAGAAACTTGAAAGCCTACCGACCTGTTCCGGGCCAAGGATCTGTTTGGCCCACCCTTCGAATAGAAAGTTGTCAGCAATACACAAGCGTAAGTAGATCCCCAGGAAGTACATTGGCCTGTGGGTTCGTATAGTAGCACCCCCCCACTCAATCCCGCTATAGGAAGCGGCCTCCATACCCTAGCGTTAAGAGAGAAGAGACGTCGAAGCCAGGCGGTAGACACCCCTGAGACAAGTAAAGGCCAGGCGCCACCAGCACCTGAGAAAACTGGCTGTAAGACCACTCTCGACCAAGTCGATCGAGTAGCAGCCTACATTAGGCCCCGACTGAAGCATTTCCGCTCGGGGCCCACCAGGTCGATTTCCATCAAGTCCGACGTCTACATCATCACCCGGTCCTCCGAAGAGTGGTACTAGCCAAGCCGACGGGTTCACCAGGTGAGTCAAGGTCCACAAGCAGAATCGGGGTACTCTCTCCAACTTTCGGCAGTTCAACACAGCGAGTGGTTTGGGGTCTCGTCAAACAATTTTGACAACCCCCTCCACCACAATGGTGCGCGTGCCCGGATCTTTAGAAAAATTGGGAATGCACCGTGTGTCCCATGATGAAGAATACGTTAGGGTCACGATAGAACTGAAGACCGAAAAACCACTGGAAGATTGACGGCCAGTGAAGGCAAAAACAAAAATCGAAAGACCGACCGGACCTTGGGACTGGTCGAGTCACCACGGTCAAGTTTGAAATTATTGAAAATAAACCTACAACCCTCCCTATGGCCTCGTTAAGGACGGCTTGGGTCATGATACCTATCCAGCCACAGTGAACCATCAGCCGATGGTAAATCCGAAAAGTTATGGTTCGCGAAACAACTAACCCCTCCGGTCGTCAAGTCCAAGCCGAATAAAACCAGGATGAAAGCGCCGGGGGACACCAAGTCGATAGGTACCGACACCTCAGGACCATCAACGGAGTTGGATTAGCGGTCGAAGACGCAATCTGGAAAGCTATGGTCCCTGACACCAAAACACCCCTAGACCGCTAAGTCCAAGCCGAAAAACACGAAGACGCCAGCGGACACCAAGTCGGTGGGCCCTGCCCAAGCAGGGCTACCAGCCTGATCGGACGATGCAGTGACGACCGCCAACCACCGACTCAATATGGGCACCCTTTAGGCAAGCGACCCCGTCGTGAAAATTCTTGAGATCCATCTACTTAGACAGCTAGAGGGACCGGTGTCAACCCTACCACACCTCCGGACGGTCACAGAGGCGGTCACTGCGCTATTTACACTTTTTCGCGAGTTAAACATGGCTGCAGGAAGGTTCAAGCCAAGCACTTTTTTGTTCGACCTAGGTTTCAACTCTTCGACCTAGGTTTCAAGAGCATCAAGAGCATATTGGAGAAGTTGCACAAGTGATTGACGATTCTGGTTAGTACAACCATTAGACACAACAATGTACAACCAGCGCAACCAAAGCCGACGCCGTCTCGTGACAGCCAGATGACGCTCCACGACTTCAAATTCCAACCCCAAGCACGACCACAGCTCGACGAATCGAGGGTGATGTGCGTCCCCGCCACCGACTCTCCCGCCAGGTATCTAAGACGCAGATAAGCGGTCTTCACCCGGTTCGTCTGCTCTTGACCCCTACGAATGGATGCCTTGAAACTGGCAAGAGCAGTGATGCTCCAGGCTTGTGCAAGGGGCGAAACGACCAATTAGTGTGATCAAGAAACGGCAACACGTGTCTACTTAAACATCCAAGCGCCTATTAGGGTAAAGTTTCACTCAATAGAAATACAGCACGGTCGTTATCAAAACTCTGCACCACAACGTGACGAAGATGCTGGGGGATGCGCCTATTAAAATCATAGGTAACTTGCAGACATAATTCGACGCGGCAATGGCACAATTTTTACAGGAACGTCAGGTACAACAAGGATACCAAGATGGAAGGGCGACCGCAGAGGCAGAATTGGTGCAGGTGACAGCGGCTCATTAAGTACCGAGGATCCCAAAACAAGCTCAAGACAACGTACTGTGACTGGCGTGGAGACGGACTTAGTCGGTACGTGCGAGTACGACCCAGACGACATGGACTTGGAGGGACCATTGGTGAGAATGGCGACAGCTACAGTAGGAATAATCCCCAATATGAAAAAATTAATGTGTTTGATTGATTGATAATTTTATCAGGTCAAATAACCGTGAGATCTCGCGGTAGATGATCCCTAGCATTGTACTTGCAGCGATATCGGACCTCGAAAAAGTATTTCAACGGAAGAGATCAAGACGAGGACCGAGTACGTAGTTGGGTGACCACGGTGAAAACCGCGTTCACGAGAGATCAAGCGCCTGACGATGAGAAGTGTCTTGTCTTCGGTGGATTGCTAACTGGACCAGCTCAGGACTGGTATCGCCAACTGGGTCGCTCGATTTTTTTTATCAAGCTGAAAGGATCTCTTACAAGAGTTCCAGATGCAGTTATGCGGTTTGGGAGTGCCAACGGTTGCCAATACTAACATGCGAAGAAGAAGTCAGATGTGTCACCTTTGGATTACTTTTACCGACTCAATGTGATTGGAAGTAGGTCGAAGATAAATATCAAGGACGGACCACCCAAGGTACAAAGGAACACGTCAAGAACTACATCGAGACTCCAGGCGACCCTGAAGTGGCGGAACAGCTCACGATATTGCGTCTGGCAGATGTGGACAAATCGGAAGACGTGCTGAGAGCCAGACAGAGGACGAATGCGCGTGGAGGTAAGGTACTATTTAGATCAAGCAAGTTTTGACACAAGACACCCGTACTACCCGACCGACCAAGAGAAGTAAACCACTGGTCGGTACATGCAGTTCAAGCGACCATGGAAGATTCGAGCTCGGACGATTTGAGCTCGTACAGCTCAATTGAAGAAAGTGACTTGAGACGAATTAACTCGATGGCGATAAAACAACAGATTGACACAGGTGCGAAGGCCCCAGAAGGCCGGCCCATCTGGGAGGCCGACCATCATCGTCATACGAAGGTGACCAAGGATCTCGCCCGACGTCGTCCGGTCAAAACCAGAAGTGCGCTCTTGTGGATCTCATAAGCATGGATATACGGATTGCTGGGAACGGCTCACGTGTGAACGCTGTGGGAAAAGGGGTCATCCAACGGATCGGTGTTTGTTTGTGTGCAAGGGGTGTGGAGAGGCTTACAAGGCTGAAATTTCCAGATAGAAGAAATTTGTAACTTTATCCGTCAATGGTACAATCCGACCAAGCACGCCGGGATTTGGCTGGAGAAGGCGGAGAGGAAAACAAATTAAAAAGCTCACTAGGTTTGAATCCAGTACGAGTGATCGTTCTGATTGTCATATCTTTGCATATGTAGAAAAGAACATCGAAGAAGATGCAGGTACCACAGAATAAAAGAGTTTTAAGGAAGATACCGCAGGTAAGAAGATTCAGTATATTTTGAAGATTGAAAGCTACTCTGTGGTTCACGTTGTTATCTTAATGACCCTAATGGCTTTGCTCGAGGAGATGTGGTGATGAAATTGGACCTACTACTAGGCAAATCCAGGGGCTTTTGGAAAAACCATTCCCCTTCGAAGTGGTTCAAGCAGGCCAAGGCCTCTGGAAACGTCGTGAACGATAGCGCAAACTTCTTGCTTAATGCTGGTGCCGAGATGTCCTTTTTTGGACATCGTTTTTGCTCGTAAGGTAGGTTGCCAGATTGATAAAAGTGCAAAAAAAGAATGTGTCAGTATTGGAGATTCAATAAATACCACAGGCAGACGCAGTCGTATCAAGATCACCCTGGACGGAAACTTGGTGTATCTTTTTAAGGTATGGTTAGGGCCGATGAAAGGCCAAGATGAGATTTTGGGGATGGACTTTCTGGTCCCCGCTAATAATCTTTTAGAACTGGGGGGGGGTGGAGAAATATGTCTCCCATATGAAGTTCGTATACAACTGGCCTCCGACGAACGCTTTACGGTGGCAGAGTGACCGACGTGTAGCTGGGCCAATTCGCACAAATACCTGTTGGAGGGAATGTGGAAGTACCCCTGATAGGATCAATCTTGGAGCAGAGTGTGCTATGAGTGACAAGAGGAGAACGGTGGATCACTTCAGTGATTCAAGGGGTAGGCCAACGTCAATTTTTGAAGGTGGCCAATGTCAGCACACAACTTTTAAGGCTACACGTCGACACCAGGATTGGCAACTTGTTGGAGAAGGATCAAATACCGATGACACTAGGGTTCGTCACTGTGGGCACTCGAATGAATGCTGAGTGGTGGAATTCGGCATACGAAGCTACCACCCACCAGGAAAACCATCAGTAGGACCTGACGGAAGAAGACGAGGGACTATAAGTGTACAAACCTCAGAATGAAACCCCATTAAATATTCGGCAGCAACTGAAAAAATCACCCCGGTGATAAACATTTCTCCACAACAGCTGTCAGTAGAGCAATTACCCAGAGGCGAAGAAACGACCTCCGTCGCTCAACCTCTAGAAGCTGCCGGCTCCAGCCGATGGAAGGCACGGTCACTCAGTCTATGGAGGCCGGCGTCATTGAAACAAGAACTAAACACGAGTACCTAGCATTAGCCGATGACCAAGTGTGCACTATTGAGAGCGGAGAACTCTGGGGCGAAGAAATTAGTCAAGGATAGGGAGTAATCTTAGAAGTAGACCCCTTGCCCGAAGGCATCGAGTTGAAGGACATACGCATCCATGATTCGGATGGTATCACGCCTGAAGAGGTGGATCGATTGAGGCAAACTATATGGAAGAAGGCACATCTTCTAATGGTAAAAGGCAATGCCTTGCCACCAGCCGCTCGTGGTGCAATATGCGACATCGACGTGGTAAATGCGAGAGTGATTGTACAACGCGTGCGAAAGGTAGACCCTCAGTTCAAATATAAGTTGGCCGACCTAATCAAGGCCTACTGTCAGCGACGATTATTTAACCGTCTACCTTGCCGTAGGCCAGCCCAAAATTGATCACCGTGAAGAATAATGGAGTAGACATCAGATGGCATTGACTACCGGTTGGTAAACGACTTCACTTAACTCATGGTCTACCCCATGCCACTGATAATCGAGTTACTGGAAGACTTGGATTGTGCATTGTGATACTGCTCTCTTGATATGGCAAGTGGTTTTTGGGTGGTCAGCATGACGGAGGGAGCAAGGTTAATTTTTAACCTTTGTAAAACCGTTAGAACTGCTCGAATGTCTGCGGAAGCCATTCGGACTTAATAATGCATCTAGACGTATGCTTCGGATGTGGCTCAGCAGGATTAGGACGAATAAGCAGAACGTCTAACGTTCACACTGAACACTACACACGGTAGGGTGCGAAGAGAGACACTATTCTATTTGGCCCACGGGTGGGACGCTAGAACCACCCTGGAAGCAACGTTGCCAGTGGTGAACACCAGATGCAAAGGGTCGGGGGCTTACAGATGGAGGTATCACATCCAGAGTCACTATTAGCGTGCAAGGGAACAGGCAAACGAGCATTTGCGGTCGGCCGTCGAGCCCGGGTGCTAACTCATAATGAACAAGTGGTTGATTTTAGGTCCCACTAATCACAATTTTTGTCACCATATTCGGTTAGGTATCCAAGTGTAGTGCTAGCTAGATCGTGTGAAGGAAGGGTACGATAAAAAAATTGGCTAAAATCTGGCATAGTCCATTCCGATTTTTGGAGCTGGTCGGTGAATATGATGCGCGGTTGGGAGTAACAGATTCGAAGTACAAATTATTTTCGATCGGTCACACCTTCAAGCTAAAAAGGGTCAGGGTGTTCCAAGATTGCCCAAGCAACCGGCTGACAGTGAACGGGGCCGACTGGATAGACTTTGACGAATGCTCGTTGCTGGAGATTAGCTGGACGCGCTGGAGGAAGGATAATAGGAAGTGGATGATATTTTAGAAACCAGTTTCAGCCAGAAGACGCGTAACGGTCGGCAGCGTAGTGAGTTCTTAATCAGTTGAAAGGTTCATGCCGACCCCTCATGGGTCGACAAAGTGGGTTTATATTGTGTAGTTTTATTAGGAAAGTTTGAACGAAACGTGATAACTATAACCGTTTCGAGGTGATGCAGAGTCACGAAGACTAGTCGTAAGGAAGGAAAATAGTCGCTTGTTGGTCGGCCTGGTACCCTGTGGATCGTTCATGACCTCCTTGAGCGACTTAAAGTTTTGGGACCAACAAAAGCTATGTAGAAGTCGACCATGACGCAATCGGAGTGACTAAGTGTATTTAAAAAATCGTGGTTTGTCTGGAGTCGGCCATGACTTTTCATGGTTAATCAAGGCAGTGCAACGCTGGTTGACAAAGAAAAAGATATGGCAGAGTGGCTAATGAGCAATGAGTGTGCAGATTCATAAGAAGGAGGAACGAGATTCCTCTAAAGGCGAGCGACCTTGGTGCCTGGGTAGGTCTCAGAGCTGAGTTCGTACTGAGATATCCATGGCCAAGTAAAGACCGAGAGATTAAGAGCGGACAACAGGTCGCATGGGTCCGACCTCTCTTCACACCCAGATAACCACTAAACTACGCGGAGAGGCAAGTGCCGAAAGAAGGGGTCCAAGAAGATGTCGATGTCACATTGATGTACGGGATTCCTGCGAAGATCTTACCAACGATCCGACGCCACGCCAAAGACGCCCTACTCCACCACTTCTTCCGTGCGTTAAATTACGAGGATAAGAAGGATCTTGTGCAAATTTTAACCTTTCAGATTTAGAGCAATGGGTAGCCTCCCAGAGTGCCTGAGCATGCTCAGTCTCAAAATTCGCGTATGCATCAGCCAGGTCAGCCAAAAAGCTGACCACCTTGAACGACACGGGAGGAAGGGAAACCTTGGCGGCCAATTAAGGCTTTGTAGCTATCAGGCTCCTGGCTATAGGAGAAGTGACCAGCGAATCATTCCACTTCGTCAAACGATCAAAGCTCTTGTCTGGTGGACCGAACCAACCCCAGGGCATCTCCGTTTGTTCAGCCAGGTCGCTAGGCGTCATTGTAACGATCGACCGGGAGCTGACCAGGCCGACAGACCAATGCGCCACTTTAATGGCGGTGATGCCCTCGTTTGAGCCATACCTAAGATCATGGTCTCTGGCCGAAGCGAGTACTCGTCGTCCGACATAAAGGAACTGCGAGTATCTGGATGGTCACCCGTCTTCCGATGTGGCGGCTAGATTTTAGAAACGGACGACACGAACATGGTATGGGTGAGCGACCGAGGGTTCAAGGACTTTGGCACGGGAGTTTTCGCGGCTGCAAGGAACAGTAGAGACGCAGTCCTCGGCCAACGACCAGAAGACCGAGATCTAGCCATGGTAGCCCGGATCGGTTCGCTCTTGAAACTGAGGCTCACGTCGGAAGATGTCGGGACGATCGGCGATGCAGCTTTCTCAAAACGCTTGAAAATTGTCTATGACGCCATCGTAACGTTCTGCGCGCTCACCTTCATCCGATTAGTGGGTTGGGCTGAGGTGAGAAAAGACGTCCGCAGGGGTTCGCTTGCCAGCGTCGGAAGAAAGGGATCGATTTTCCGTAGTCAAGTCTTGTGACGGCCCTTGAGTGACACCAGGGCTACTTATTAGAGTTTCGCACGCGAAATCGGATTGAATGAGCTCTGACATCCGGCTGCGGCAAAGGTCAACTTTCTGTCGCCAGTGGTCGGTCAGAGCCATCCCATGCTGCAGCTTCTCGTAGAGCTGCGACACGAGAGAGTTGAAGTCACTAAACTCCTGTTCCAAGTGCTCACATCGAAGCGACCAGTGATGCGGCGACGATGACATTAGAGCCAACCGACCCTCACAGAACTCGACACGGCTAAAAAAATGCCACCACATCGACGGCGGGTGTACGCTTGTGGTCGAACGACCACCGACGAGGCCGACCGGTTTGGCCGATCTAACACCGGTGGAAGCGGCACTGACGGTAACAACAATAGAAGCGGTCATGACTGGGGGCGACCTCACACCCGAAGTTACCTGAGCCGACTCCACCGGTGGCGAAGTCGACGGTATGGTCACGGCGGCCTCACCAGCGTTCACCAACATTAAAGATTTGGAGAACCGGGGGCGACAAGCAATGCTACAGCTGGGTCTGCTTGGCCAGAGACCTCTGTCGACAATGCAGGTGTTAGTAAAGCAGAGGTTGGATCTGGACCTTCGAACGGTGAGTCGGATCCCGGTAACGACATTGCTGCAAGCACACAGGTCAGACGATGACGAGATATCAGCCGCAAGAGCAGGTGGGACTTACGGGAATGGGGTGGTGAAGACGTGCTCGTGCTTGAACCGCTGTACAGTCGATCAAGTGCAAGGAGCAGCTGTGCTGAAACGACTATGCGAAAATGATGGACTTAAGAGTCGACGAGCCGGAAGGACATGAGACCTCGAGGCCTGTAAAGAGACCGGAGACTTGATAATTAGAGGTATAAAGCGGCCGTTGGGTCCAACCGTGACGAGCGGTAAGGTTACTGCTAACGGGGTCAAACCAACCAGCGGTACCAGTTAAACGGTACCGATATGGATCGTTCTCAACCACTTGTCGGTTGGCCCTGGTCACCCAAGCTGGAACTCGATACCTCGTAGGCGGACCTGGTTACCCATAGGTCGACTTGGCATCTCAAGTTCTAATTGCTCGTGTCCACTCATCATAGAGAGTCCAGGTGCAAAGAAAAAATAGAGTAAAGGAGTTTAAAGGATAGGATGACATTAAATCTACTCAATTTGCGATCTAAGTCGCACGACGTCTCGTGCGCTAAGAAACTTGAAAGCCTACCGACCTGTTCCGGGCCAAGGATCTGTTTGGCCCACCCTTCGAATAGAAAGTTGTCAGTAATACACAAGCGTAAGTAGATCCCCAGGAAGTACATTGGCCTGTGGGTTCGTATAGTAGCACCCCCCCACTCAATCCCGCTATAGGAAGCGGCCTCCATACCCTAGCGTTAAGAGAGAAGAGACGTCGAAGCCAGGCGGTAGACACCCCTGAGACAAGTAAAGGCCAGGCGCCACCAGCACCTGAGAAAACTGGCTGTAAGACCACTCTCGACCAAGTCGATCGAGTAGCAGCCTACATTAGGCCCCGACTGAAGCATTTCCGCTCGGGGCCCACCAGGTCGATTTCCATCAAGTCCGACGTCTACATCATCACCCGGTCCTCCGAAGAGTGGTACTAGCCAAGCCGACGGGTTCACCAGGTGAGTCAAGGTCCACAAGAGGTATCGGGGTACCTCCTCCGACAGGCGGCAGTCAGAAACAGTGAATGGTTTGGGGTATCGTCAAACAATTTTGATAACCCACTTAACCACAATTAAATGGGAAATTTGAAAGACCATCTTCAAGGTGCTGGACAATAACTTGGACGTTTCCACAGCGGATCATCCGCATATCGATGGTCAAACTGAGCGTGTTCATCGCGTCATTAGTGACTTTTAGGCAGTGTTTTCGCTGATACACCTAAGCGTTCAAGCGCCATTACCTCTGTTGATGACTTTTTGTTTAACAACAATGTTCATGCCTCTGTAGGCTATACTACAATTTACGTAAATGTTTTCAACCACACTCTCGTTCTAGTGACGCTTGCCCTACGTGGTACAGGGCTTGCAGGGGGAGTATTAGCCGATCGGCTTGCTGAATTCAGCCCTGCTACTTTCCGAACCAGGTAGGTGAGTTTCTCGCAACGCGATTAAATGTATTAAGACATGTGCGTGACGCAATGGCAGAAAACCGAAACCAAAAAAACGACAAGCAGATGCTAAAAACAGGGTTGTATTGAACGGTAACAGGTAGGAGACCAACTTTTACTTAATGCTAAAAACAAATTTACAAATGTAGTGTCCACTGTCTTCAAGACAAAATCGCGCCCACGCTTGGACCATTCACGGTCGTTGCTATAAAGGAAAAGCGTATGCACTTAACCTTCCACGCATTGGTTACCTCACATGACCAGCCGCTGAGCGATCGGCAAATTCTTTGTCGATCGCTGTTACTTGTTCACGAGGCAGTGGACACTGCTGTCTGACACAGTATTTCGGACCGGGTTTCAGTTCGATCTCATGCCGAGTGCATTTGTCCTTGGGCAGCTTGCATGGCACGAATTCAGGGAAAACGTCCCTGAATTTGACCAAATCCTTATACAAAGGATTTGTCTCTAAAGACTCCCAAGATTAGACGTGTATCGCTCAATCCGAGTCTTCTCATCGAGGACACTCTCATCCATCGATAAGCTACTGAGTACTCGTTCGTTCTCAGTAAACGCTTGTGCCTACCGAAAATCGGCGACGTACTCGTACTCTGTGACGAGTACGCAGATCTGCTTGATCTTTTCACTACGCAAATCTCGCACGAATCTTTTAGATTCTAGCGTTGTCAACTTGACTACCTCCGAAGCTGACTTCGGGGGTGAACCAGATCAAGTGTATAAGCGCCTACACTTGATCCGTCATTCATTAAGACATTCACTGTCTCGGTGCTTTCCTGGGAAAATATATCCACAGGTGGTTCGAGAAACACACCTTTAAAATAGCTCTCTCGGGAGTTATCACTCTCTGGATCGCTGTAACTTTTTGCAAAACGTGTACTGACTGTGTATAAACTACCACAGTCACGTCTCTTCGATCGACTCTCTTTTGTAAATCGGGCTTGCTTTGCAATCGACTCTCTGTTAACCTATATCGCTGTAACGTGTTGTTCATCTTCAACAGCACTAATTTCTCTTATTGTATGCACCCTTCTTGTTGTGCATCCGTGTTCCAGACCACTCGATCTCTTGGAGTGGTGAACCTTCGGCGCAGCCTGTATCATTACACAGATGCCGGAAGCTGTTTTCACATTGTAGTGACCTTCTACACTGTAATCTTGTGCATTCATACTAACGACCGTACCACAAGTGAGGCCATCGCGCTCACTCGTATTACATCCGCGCACTTGTATACGCTCTAAGACGTTCATCAGATGGCCGTTTCATAAAAAACGGCAGGCGACTTCACGGATCGATGCTGCCAGCTGCTCCATGGCTGGTATTTTTTAAGCCATGGCAGACCGAGGATGTCATCAAATTTGTCATCCATATCCAGTGCGATCAATTTATCATCGTACTGCTTATCTTCTAGCGTGTAGTGGATTCCCACTACACATTTGCTCACTGTTACGGATGCGCATGTAGCAAGGCACACCGTTATCCTCGTTGGGGGGATGTCTCACTCAACATAATTGAGTCTACTATCCTCTAGCGACTGGCGTCGAATAAACTTGTTCGACGCCCCACAGTCAACTAGGGCGCGAAGTGACATTCTACTTGTCACTTCGATCTTCAAATTGATGAGAGACTCTTCATCACTAGGGGCAGTAACACACAGCTACTTGTGTGTTGGGAGCAATCTTCGTCAAGAGTCCTGCAAATTCTCTTAACGTAGCTTGATCAGTAGGGTGCTCCGCCCCTACTGATCCTGTCTATTTTTGGCGGCCCGACTTGATGTCGCGAATTGGCGACATGGTCGGACCCACGCCTTGGACCATTACTCGGCCAACGGCGGTCATCACGTCCTGTCTTTGGACGTGTTGCGGCGCTTGGGACACTACACGCATGAGCGTAGTGTCCAATCTTCTGACAGCGATGGCATCTTGCCGTTCGCTTATGACTCAGAGAGCAAGAGTTCTCGCTCTCGATATAACAGAGGTCCTTTGGTTCGGGATCTCCTGTTTTCCTGTCGTCTCGTCGGACGATAGTTTGACAAGTTAGCCTGAGACTGTCTCAGGCTAAAGTCTTCTTGTTGCACATACGCTATCGTCTTTACAGCGTATGAAGTCCTCTCGGGTCATGTAGGTCTTCACCGGCCCATCCACAAGGCCGTAGACGAACACGTTGATTAGCGTGTGCTCATCAACATGGTTTTCCGTGACGCTACTCGCAAGGTAGCGTAGGTGAAGTGCGTAAGCGGGCACGTCACGCTTACCGTGCTTAAGCCTCAAGATTGCAGAGCGCGCTCTGAACTCGGCTCTCGGCGGTCAAACGTCTCTTTGAGCTGATACTTTAAAATCTCCAACGACTTAAACACGTTTGGGTCGTGAAGCTTGAGCCCTAAGACCCAAGTCTATGCTCGTCCCGTCAAATCTTACAGGGCTTAGGTGACTTGCATCTCGTTACCCTCGATGTGTCGGGCCCTGATGGCGTCGTCTAACTCGACGAACCATCTCAAAAGGGATATCTTCGTTAGTTCCCTTGTACCTTGAGATATCGATCTTCAAGGTTTCGGGTCGACGCATGTGCGTCGGCCCGCCTATGGAATGATGAGATCCTTCGTGTTGTAGCAAGGCTATCTTCTTTCTATCGACGGCAAGTTACCCTTGTATGAACTTGTTGATAGCAGCATGTTGCTGGTCTCTGCTTAGAGACTTTAAGATGCCACCGATATTGGGTTCGCCCATGAGTACGCTCATGCGGCCGACTACCTCCTATTCTGAGTCACTCAGATGAAAGTAGCCCTCACGTGTGACGTAAGAACTGTCGTCTTCGACGTCCGACATGTAATGTTGAACAGATACTATGTAGTCGTTCGACGGACTACAAAGAGCTACCAGGTGTAGCGGGGCACCCTTTGTTTGGGGTGCCACGAAACTTCTCGTACACTTGTACGTGCAGAGGAAGCTATTCTACTCAACAGCTAAGTTGATTAAAGGGTAAAAAGAGAACTGTATTTAATATAGTTAAGCTATCGATATAACTTCAGTCTTTATCTAACTATTATAAACTACGTCGTCGTATGACGACAACCTGCTCACCACGCATTGCGCGCATCCAGAAGCGATTGGTGGTAATCTATGGTTGATAGGTCTTTATCAACCAATCTTTGAGCAGCGCATGGATATTACCCTACAAAGGGGATAACACTCCTTCAATACTATCCATCTCGGAAAATATTGGTAGGGAATTGTCACGCTAGACAATCTTCCTATTGACACCGTTTGGTGTCAAAATCATGTAACGGGCTACACCGTTACACTTATACCTCCAGTGACGGGCTTGTGAATGATCGGATACGCTTCAAATGTCGGTAAATATCGCGAGAGATGTAAGACAAATCCTGCAAATTCTCAGTCGACCCCTAGTAAAGCTTACGACACCTTAGATCTTGATGGTGATATCTCCTTGTAGTTCCAGGGCTATGAGGCAGGCCATCTATCGACTAATTTTATACCTCCTGCCTAAGGACATCCAGCTGAAGCAGATCGCCGGAGCTGACAATTTCTTATTGTTCGTTTATCCATGCGTTCCTACGAGCTCGACTCCTGCATCAGTGTGGCATTTTACCTGCTGACCCAAGCTACAATGTATTTTTCTGAGGATGTTCGCCCGACAAATTAGCCTGGTGTGTCGTGGTAGGCGTATGGCGTACAACATCGACCATTCTCGCGCTTGCATTGTCATACTGTCGTTAAAGGGGCAACATATCACGGCGAGTCATGGAGAGAGGGTTTTGACATAATATTATATATCGAGTGTCCCGTGTGTACGTTTTTTTTAAAGTCAATAGTGTATCATTTATTTCTTGATCGACGTGGTATTCGTTCACAATTTAAATTTCTAACAGAAAAGCCCAGGGCATTATTGCGGACCGTCCGAAGTGTTTAACGTTAGTCTCCATCGAAGTTTTAATGCCAACTCGCTTCGCCTCGGTTTCGTGCAATTATCGCCAACAGAAAATGACTTGCTCGGAAATCACAATTCATATCCATTTTGTAATTCCAGAACCTTATTGCAAAATGTGCGGTGGGTCAACAAGTGCACCACGAGCTTGCAGTGGTTTGCGTTGCGAGACTCTCTTAGTCGTGTCCATTAATACGGGAAAGTCCAATCTTACATTTTACGGGTAAGTAGTCCATGTGGACGCCTTCTAGATTTCTGATGCCCGTCTTAAAGTTGTACCGTTTGTCAGAGATGTTCACATATTGCATTGCCGCTGATCCTAACAAGTCGATCATGTGTAGCATATCTCGCTTCCACTGCGCAGACGCGTAGTCTTTTGCAGTCTTTGTACCGCTGCCACTCATTCGATATACATAGCGACGGTGTAAAAACCTCTAGCTAGGACGTTTGCGATGTTGTGCTGGAGGGGGGCAGAAAGATGTGGAAAAGCATATTTCGATGAGTTATGTTTTAGATATAACTCATCGAAATATGCTTTTCCTGTCTTGCATGTGCACTACCATCCAAACCAAGCAATATTTAAGCGTGATCATCTTTGAGCTATTTTAATCTGATGGATTAAAAAGAATGCACTAATTATTCGGCCGCGAGTTCGGTCATGGGTGAAATTTGGACCGGTATCATAAATTACAGCAGAGCTTATGATATCAGTCCATTGTAGAGGTTAGTAATGATGTGTTTTTCACTACCCATGCGCGTAAACAAATTAAACAAGTACATCATGAAGAATAACTGCCAGACGATGCATATAAATTAGCTGCAGTGCACTTTCAAGCGATCACCGTGCCAACTAAATCCTGCTTCCAATAAAACCTGGTGAAAAGTTGTTCATTCAGGCGTCACTCATGTCAATTGCATCACATTAGCGCTACCAATACAACCTTCGTCGCGCGTTTATCCAAGAAGCTATATAAAGCACGATATCACTTGCTTCTTGAGGCACTCTGGAAAAATCCTACCTCACACAAATTTGGTGTTTCTGTTTTTTGTGTTGGCCTGACGAAATCTAGGCGAACGGAAGCTTTCACATCGTCATTAGATTACACTGTAAGACGCGATCGATGTTAGCCAACTGGTGTGCTCCTGATTCTTTGTAGGGGGCATACCATACATGAATAATCAAGATACGTGCACCCACCACAAGACGGCAGTACAAATACGATGGGCTCATAATGGGAAACTATCGAATGAGTTTATTTTTCGACAAATATCATTTGTCCAGATACATTTTCGAATGATATGCAAAATCTTCCATCCCAATCTTCATGTCGCAATTGATATCTCTTGTCGTAAAGTTCAGTCGCACATTTTAGTTCAGATATGAAAGTGTGATTGAGCTCGCTTGTCCAGGGTCTGAGAAGATAAAAGGAGAAGCAGAGCCATTTATTTATATGACCACGGCATAGCCGCTGTTCGGCATTAAAACGTCGACTTCTCGCTGTCTTCACGATAGCCAACGTCCCAGCCAAAAAGTTTCAACTTACTGAGGCACTATCGCTCTAATACGGCATGCTATGCCAACACGATATAGCGCCGGTACTTTATTATTTGAGCTTGTAACTGAGTATGAACGGCTTCCGTATGACATTCGTACATTTCTGACTACGAAGCTGGACAGATCACTTTGGAGTGGGTAAATGATTACCGACATGCCAAGGATGCTAAAAACAACATCCTATCTACTTTGTTGAGCGTGTTTATAAGCCGCAGTCTTGAATAGCTTCTGACATACGCAAGACTATTGGTCTTGGAGATCACGAGATAGATAATCTTGGCCACCCTCCGCGACTTTTAGATCGCTCTTATTGCTCTGCGCATTCAATATCTGTTAGATTAAAAATTAATTTCAGCTGTGTAAGTAGCAATGTAACGCCATTTTATCGATTGCCTGGACCCATCACGTGAAAGTATGATATCGAATCGCAACAGTATGTCCTCAATCACTGTTGCGTCTTAATCGAAACGGTGCGCAAGTCGAGCCAGCAAATTATGTACGTGTTTTTACATTCAGTAACTTGTCGGTCTTCTTCTTGACACGGATTGATCAAATCGCACGAATGTTCGCACGCAGAACTGCATCGATCGAGTTATTCGTGAAGATAGAGGCAACCGATGACGTGAACTAGTCAACTATATATGCACGATTCACAGTTTGTGAGACGAAACGAGTCGACGTGTACGTGGTTCACGCTTGTCTGCATTTTTCTTTGATACTTTGACTAGGACACAAATGATTGCCGTTTGCAATATCTGCAAGTAAGGATCGTAGCTCACATTTCGAGAAACATGAAATCAAGACTATGCTTCGATCTTCCCCCGAACCATAACTGAAGATCACTGTCCAATTGCACGAAACTGGTGTTTGCATGGAAAGCTTGCACTGCGAGGAGAGCTAAAGAAGGCGCAATGTATCTTCAATTTCTTTAAAATACAACATCAATTTGAGTTACGTCGCTCAAGCCCGCTCTTGTAGACGTCAAGTTATCGTATCTTTATCATACGACACCAGGATACAAGATTGTGTCCGTAAGCAGCGTCGTCGTATTGAGGTCAGTGGCCGATATTGTTCGAGCACTGATACAATCGTATCATTAAAAGCGCGTTACCATCATGACATGTGTAATATCCAACATCGCGCAACGCAACACGCACAATGACCTCGGAAGTTGACTTAGTGAGAATTGGTCGGTATCAAATACAATGGTGAATTGCGCTGTCTACAAAAGGTAATAGGCGATGTCTCGCAGATTGCAGCGCCAGGAAGAAGAGCCTCAACGAGCGAGATTGTCACGCCTGTACAATGTCGCAATTGACACACCGAAAAAAAAGTCATCCGATTTTTGTGTCCGAGAGGGGAATAGTGATTGCCGTCGTACTCGTCATGACCGGATCCCAGCACTCAAATAGTAAACAAAAAAGCGAATGCGGATGTGCTGCATGCACGCCCAAAGCTGGATGGATATACCGAAATTAAAACATCTGCACTATACCACCTTTTACACCCTCATCTTTGCCACTGGTGTCAGCACTGCCCTGTAGACGCGTCTGGGCAACTTCATTGACTGAACGATAGTTGTAGTGGTAGAAGCCAACGATAAGGTCTGACATCTCTCCGACGTGCATCCGAGCCTCCTGCTTCGATTTAAACTCGGAAATTTCGGGAGTCAATTGAACTACCAAGCGAGTGATGCAACCTCGCATAAAGTCACTCGAGTCGTTGGTTCCCTGAGTCACATCTCGATGAAACTCAAAAGTCGACGCAGTGCTCCATCCTTTCTCCCTAAGACGCACCGACACCGAGCCGCCATCTATGTGCACGTGGACATTATACACGAAAACCACGCGATCTTGCTCAATGTGCCGACGGAAAGCAGCCCACTTCGTCATTGTCACCTGGCGTGACTTGGATAGCTGTACTGTGTCGCGAAAAATGAGGTTCGAATGGTCTTGGTTGAGCATGTGCGCTTCGGTGTGTTTATGAATTGAGCCATCATGCAGACTATTCCAGATCGTGTGGTGCAATGCTTGCCACGAGAACGGCAGCAGCCGCGCTTCCTCGTAGCGAAACGAAATTCCGTCTGCATCTCGCTTAAAAGCAAAGCCACCCTGTAGCTTGTGCAGCACCGACGATAGTCCGTACGTCGTGAAAATCCTGTCAATTTCTGCAAGCTGCGTCTCTAGTGCACTGTTCAACTCTGCAAAGATGTGCTCGTCCATTATCTTCGAAACGCGCATCCGCTCCTCCTCGCTCGCGCCAGTATTATTCATCTGCTCACGATGATACGACGTATTGGCGTCACTTTCATGCTGACGAATGGAAGCTTCAAGGGCGTGCGCAACTTGTAGCTGACCGAGCAGTCGATCTCGCAGTTGACGGTTTTCATCAATAGACGTAGCGACCTCACGCTTTTGGCGTTCGGCAATTTCTTTCCAGCTCGAGAGACCTGTTGTCATGTAGAAAAGCAGCAAGAGTCAATACTCGTGCTCGAAAAGGATCGGGTCGTTCAAAACACACATATGCTGTACCCAATGTCATCAACTCTTCCTGTAGCTCCACCACCTTCGCCCGCAAGTAGTCAAGTTCGTGTTTCGGACGCCGGCGATCGCGTCGCGACGATGTTGACTTCGGTCTCAGTCTTTGATCGGATTGCTTCGACAGGTGCTTCTTTTCAGGTTGCGCGACAGACGACGGATCCGACGTCAACATGTTCTTGGCAGGAGGCATTGACATGTCAGTGTCGATCTCGTCCGAGCACAGCAGTTCTTGAATTTCCAGGGACAGCAGCATCGAACCCGCGGCCTCTTCGACCGAGTCCTTCTGTTTGATGGGAGTACCGACATCGACGATGACCGGGGCCGTCGTCTCCTCGGAGAAGTAGCTGAGAGCTTCGATCAAGCCCTGGTTCATAGTATGCACGTGCTCGTGGGGGGGTGACTGGAACTCGCCTCAGCTGATTTTGGCGAATGAACCAGTCGCGTTGGATAGTGCGAGCCGAAGTCTCTTTCGCACTGCTTACTTGCAGGAGGCAAATCGTGGAAAGCAAATTGCTTTGCAGCGGACAACCCGATTTCGCGACCAGAACTTCAGCTGCCGACTAATCAACCGCTTCGTTGACTCATGGTTCAAACGCGCTGGCACGATGTAGTTCAAGTAAACAACAATCAACTATTTATCGTGAACTCGACAACCGGCTGTAAGGGCGATTACGGTGCTGTCAAAAAAAAACATCGATTCGAATCAGCGGGAAGAAGACTTGGTAATGTACGTGTCGTGGATTGAACAGTACGTTGTACAATGTTGACTAGGCCCAGTTGCAACAAAGGTGAACAAACTAAAGCTGGACCTATTAGCATTACGAGGAGTTACGTTCGTAGTTATTACTAACGTGCTACGATCGATTTGCAGTAGTTGTAGGCACTCGCTCGCACTCTTCAAAATCGTCAGCTGCTCGATTCGCGATTGTTTCTACACCACAAACTGGCCCCACAGTGGTATCCGACCGAGGACAGCCTTGAGTGGCGGCAGCAACACATAGAAAGGTATACGTGTAATTGGTAAGTGTCTGTGGAGTCCAGTACTGATGCAACGTCATACGTAAGCACGCGCAGAAACAAGAACGTCGCTACTCGTGCTTGCATCAATATACCGCGACGCTTATAGTCCTTGTCTGCTATCTACACTCGATATCATGAGAACAAAGCGTCGTGATCTTCCGTCGATAATCGCACTAACAGCTAGCAAGTCGTCAGTGACACCGCTAACGCAGGAACGACATAGCGACAATGATTATCGCTACTGTGGGCAACGCTTCGCGAGTCGATTCGCGTCTAGTTCAGCGCAGACCTTGATGGTCGCGAGAACGCTGCTTCGATGAGACACTATATTTTCCATGATGAAAATACGACGATAGGGCCGAGGAACGCGTTCACTTGCACGAAGATCCAACGGGTACGGCGATCCGATCAGCACTTGATACGAACGACGATATAGCCAATGCAACGGCAGTGGGGCACGATTATTATTCGGAAGGAAGCTCGCCGTCGGTATGTTTAGGACGGCAATGACTCAGTGCGTATTTTCGTGGCGCGTGCTGCTAGTATTACACTGTGTTTATACATGCGCGTGTTTTACGGGTCTTCGCGACAATAGAGGTACCAAGCTCATTAGCATGCAGCTTCATGTGAGGAGCTGACGTTTGCTATAGCAGAGATGACAAAGGAGGTACCAACCTTATCGGAGCAGCTCCAAAAGAATAGCTGATGTGCGTAAGAAGTACACATACCTGATTGATCACGGCAATACTCAGCAACTCTTCAATGATGTAGCTGGACAGGGCTAAGATGATATTGAGTATATGTCAGCAACCCTGAAAGCCGCTTCGCTTTCAAACTGCGACAAGCGTACTTTGCACTTCTAAAAGAAAAATGCCGCCTATATTGGGTTTCGTCGCGCTACGCTTATCGACGATCGCTGCAATCCTCCGTTAGCGAGAACCGGTATTGTGAACGTGTTTTGGGCAATTGCTGGAGTAAAAGACCCGAATTGAGCACGATGCACGGCGAGAAACACGGTCTACCACTCATATATTAACATAGGCGAATGGTAGATGGTGGTCTGATGTCATGCTAGGCAAGTCTCGGCAGATACATGCAGTCATATGATTCCTTGTAAAGGGTTACGCCCACCAAGTGTATGCAGTACGCCCCATTTTAAGGAGAGGCTTTCCTCCATCCAGTTATGCATCGACAAGTAATTTTTATTCCCAGCGTAACAAAATTCTTTGTCACCGACCTTATATTGAAAGTTGCTAAATTCGTGGCAAACTAAACGGCTGGGTTCATCTCCTAGTCGGCTGTTTATGCATGTAAGATACGAGAGCAAGCTCTGGAGCTCGCCTTTTGATATAATTTATCCAGTTCATACAACCATTTCAAGTTGCAAAACACTAGACAACAGCAGCAGTCACTGGAGAATGAGTGTGATGCTGTTCATGTAGGTATTGTCCAGTACACTGTACCCAAGCAACGCGATCAGCCTTTGCTTATGAGCGTCCAACATTTGCTTATGTAATCACCTTCGATCGATTTTAAGCCAATTACATGCATGCATAACAATATTGACCTAGCCCTAGAGAAGCACCTAGCATGCTAATCGACCTATGAGAGGGGGGGACAGGCTAGATCGTATTTAGTACGAGTCAGGTGCACCCAACCGCGTCATTTACAGACAGACACACACATGGATTCGTACGATTCAAAACTCGGCGTTCAACCTTGCGCACAGTCACTAACAGCTTCACCCTTCGGGCTCGCAATTAGCATATTTAAGTCGATGTTCTTGTCCTTGATACCTTCCGCTGGCGCTGCCATTCAAGGAAAAAGTCGTTTTTAAAGCCATAATCAGCGCGATCGCTCACCTTAACACCAGGCCTCATTGTCAACCCCGTCCACAAAAGCACGATATATCGGCACGATCGCGATTGCTCATAGAGGCGGTATCTCTCGCCTAAAAGGTTAATGACACGTTCTTGAAAAAATCAACCACAACAGCGATTACCGTGGATTCGCAACGTTCGAATTACCGCAGTCTGCTTACAGTCAAAATCCGCGATACAAAAATTAGATGTGGACCTAAATGGTCGCAGTTAAGGCGAAAGTGTAAAATTTGGTGTTTGCGATCTCGTGGAGAGCTTCCGAAAGAGCTGGGGGTTGGTGCACAGACAAAACACCAATACTGACCCAACAGGAGGCAAGCGTACATCGTACGTGGAACGCGGGCTATCTCAAAAAGACCTTTTCAGCTCCTGGGTCATCGGAAGTCACTTTTTGGGGAAAACTAGTCATTTGACGATATACTTACCTGATTTTTAAATTACGGTTTATTTCACCCTGTACTTAGATTTGACTCGGCTGAGTAAATATGACCCAGTCATTTAGCATTTGTCTAATTTACAGTTTCCGGAACAAATTTATTTATTATTGCCTTGCGGGTAGAGGTGCGTACGATTAAAAATGCATACATTGCTTTCAATACTATTATGATTGTCTTCAAGTTTCTGCCCAGGGTTCTCGTGGAATCTTGATGTGCGACCCGCTGTAACCATAAGTATACAGATGAATTTAATGCAACAAGTGCAGCCGAGAGTCGAATGGAGTGAGTGAGAGTGCAGCCACTCTATTGCCATTCGTTCCAATAAAAGCTTGGTAACTTTGATCATGCTGCATCAACCCTCAATGATCACGCACATTTTCCTTGTCAGTCCTGCTCAGAATCTTCGCATGGCTACATATCGTAATAAAATTAGGGAATTGCTAAATTCACACCCCTTTTCCTTAGATTCACACCCTTCCTTCAAAATATTATATATAATCTCCTTATTCATTTTAAGATTTGTCCGTGATGGAGATCGTGCACGCTGCCGTGGGCTTTGCGCGCTTCCCAGTAAGCTCTACACTCATGCAAGTAAGCTCTCGGTTATGTCTCGTCTGGGCTCTGTCCCGCCTCGCGCTATCTGTACGGCTTCCCGCTTATGGTAGGGCCTCGTGGAGTTGCCTCGCTACTCTTTCATGCACTCAACCTGTAAGACGCCTTGCCCAACTTCCATTTTTTCTGCGCTACCACATTATCATGCTGTTTGATCCCTCTGGTGTGCCTGGTATGTACTATCTTGCATCTATAATGACCTGCCGCAGGTTGATCCGAGTAGCTTAAATTCGTTGAGGTGCTAGTAGAGCTCACATACTCTCCCTGTCTATAAGGCGAAGTAATTTGCATGGTGAGCTCGCTCAGCTTTCTCTCCACGGGTGCGTATGCCTTCCAGCTGCCCAACACACACAACATCTCGATCTCGCTCTACGTGGTGGTCATCCTCGTGCTAGTGGTGTACATCCCAGGCCTGCTCGTCATGTATAGCCACATGCTCACGCAGCGTAACCGTGCGTACTCCAAGACACAGATCAAGACTGCTTCGAGCAGGATGCGACAAGATAAGAATGAAAACTGGCAAGAAGCGATCGTGTGTTGAGTGCAGTGTAACGCTTGGAAGTCATGAAGAGCACAAGACAAACTTGTAAACAGTGCTTCCGGTACCCTAACTCGGCTTAGTATATTTCCGCTACTATCTACACTTTCAATTTAGCTAGCTCGTGCATTTCTTGAACGCCTAATTGGATTAGAGGTGATCTGATGGAAACTATTGGGATCAGGAATTTTCATGGTAAACATACTGTTCACCAATGTGTTCTCCATCAGGAGCTATAATGTGTTTTGAAGACTTGGAGGAGTCCATTTTGCTTCACCGTGTCCAAGCGTAAAAAAATACATACACGCACGGTAGAAGGAAGTAAGACAATCGATAACTCATTAACGTTAAGGTGTTATGTTTTCCTTTAAAAGTATGCATATTAATCTTCGACCTCGTATCACTTTCGAAACTGGCAAGTTCGTTTGTAGTGACCTGGTTTGCCGCAGCACCCACATTTCCTTTGGTGTTGATAATCTGCCTTTTCAACATGCTCGAACTTGGACAAGTCTCGTTTTGTACTGCTTTTTGGAAGGTTACGGGAGCCAGGGGGACGACCACAAGTTTCAGTGTGTACCATCGGATCTTTCAGCTCCACCACTGTGCTGCGGCCTTCCAACAGTTGGGTCACTTGGGCAAAGAGAAACTTAACTTGGTCATCTGGTAGTTCCCTTAACTTCCCTTCAAGCATATTCCATTTTACGGTGATCGCCTTAACTCCACCGCTTGTTTCCTCTCAATAAATGTAACCACATCAGTCAGCGTTAGTTAGATACACACACTATAAAGTAATTGCCATACTGTTACGTCGCGTCTCCAATTCAGATGCCACTGCTCATGAAAATCGTTTATGCCTAACGCACGCTTGCTGTTCTCGATTTCTTTTAGCTTGTGAGCACAAGGGTGCCCATTGTCGAGGTGAAAACCATTGTGCAACAAGCTTTTTATTCTGTGTTTCTCTTGAATTGATCAAGACACTTTTTGAGTGCAAAGGCTGAAATAATCCCGGATACTGAAGTAAAAATTGACGGCAGCCCGGTCAGGTGAAGTAACTTGTCTCTGCTGCGATGTGTTTCTTCGGTTCTAACTTGATGCTCAATTGCAAGAGTCAGTTTGCTGAGCACCGACAGCAATTCCCCTGTTGATACTTGCAGAATTTTTTTACGTACGCATGGGCGCCTTCGACTCGTGATGTAGCATTGTTGCCAAAATGGAGATACCTCGACGTCAAGGCATTTACTAAGCGATCCTTGTATATAAGCCACGTATTAAAGAGGTGTTCGAGAACTTTTGACTTACTGTCAAAAGATTTTGATAGCTCTTTCCACTGTTTTTCAAATTTCACTTCCGTGTTAGCAGCCACCAGATTATTCCACTGCTAAAGAAACAAGTTCCGTTGCTCGCTCGTCTCAATTGTCGTTTGCATTTGGACATGATGTTTTTGTTGATGTGCCATGTGCACAGCATGTGTGTTGAAGATGGAAAATTTCATCGATAGCTGCCATCAGCAACAGTTCGCAATCTGTCACAATCACGGCTGGGTGTGTCTCTGGTGTCAGGATGGCTGCAAGTTTTGATAATGCCCACATGTAATCGTTTTGCTTCTCTTCTTTAAGAAAGAAGAAGCCAACCGAAAACTGGCTATTGAAGCTTGTCATACCAACAATGTGAAGTAAGGGGAGTCGGTACTTGTTTGTCTTGTATGTGCAGTCCATAAGCACGACATGATGGTATCGGCAAGCAAGCCGAATACTTTCTTTGTGAGCGAAAAAAAGGGAGGTTATTGCTCCATCGTCATCACATCTGTGAAATTGCGTAAAATTGCTTGCTTGCAAATCATTAAAAAGAGCTTGTATCAGTGTCCTTCCATTTAGCTTGTCCTTTCGAAGTTTCGTACGCTCATTGTACAATGTAGAGAGGTTTACTTGGGCACCGTCATTCTCCATAAGAAGGGATGAAAGAATACCTAACGGTTTAACACCAGCCAATGTCATATTTCTGACAGTATCGACCTGCTCGCTATTTAGCTTTCTACATGTCGAATGACCTGACGGATGGAGTGAAGGCTCGTGATTGTGGCATCCATTCATCACGTTTAACTTCCAATAACCCTTTTTTTGAACAACTTCCACTTAAAAGGAACGGGCAATCAATTCGGCGTGAGCTGGTCTGGCGTTGGCGCTCTTTTTTAACCTTTGGTACGTTAACGGCACCTCGATCACATTTAACGTAGACACGCTTTCTGCAATCGAACTTCTAATCGTAACAGCATAGCCTTGGCCACGTGCGAACGACTGCACAGTATCCCTAAGTTGCTCCCTACTGGCATACTTAACCTCGGGAGGAGGAAGCATGTTCTTGCGTGGTGCCCTATCAGTAAACGTTGGAGGAGCTAGACCACAAGCGTGAGTAGTATCTTAGGTATTTCTTACGTATTGCTTGCCAAATAATGGCCTAGATTATCGAGTAATACCTTTGTCAGAAAACAAACCTTAAAATGAATAGGGATTGTATATATAATATTTTGAAGGAAGGGTGTGAATCTAAGGAAAAGGGGTGTGATTTTAGCAATTCCCTAAAATTAATGTAGATATGAGTGAGTATCTTACGACTTATGTCCACCTTGAGCACTCCTTCTCGCGAAAGCATTATTTATCAACTAATAAAAAGCTTCTAGCGACCACAACTATTCGAGTTTGTGTTGGTCAATTGCCTTCACCATCAGTACCTTAAGCATGATCTTGGACTGCCGTAGCACCACCTCAATATTCCATGGCGAGCAAAGTTTAATTAGGCGCACATCTATATGATTTGTACACAAGGGCGAAGCATCGCCTTCATCACGGTGGACCGCCGCATTATTGTCCACATTCATCTTTAACGAAAGACACGGTGCTTATCCACTTGCATCAGCATTTATTTTATTGGCGGGGCCTTTGTGTCTTTGTGGTTGCTATCATAAACTCGATCACAATCATCAAAAGCAAAACTCTTCCTTACTTTTTGCTGCCCAGATCGCAGGCGCTTGACCAAATCAAACCATCTCTATGATTAGAGAATTTATGACACCGTCGTCCGTGGCTAAGTCTATGCCGCTAAATGGCTGTAGAGTAACAGCATCTTCTCTTTTGGTAACGGTACACATCTTGAACCTAATGTCTTTTTGTCCCCAGGGGGTCAGCTTATGATTCTCTTGGTCATATTTCAGTATTTTCAGTCTTGCTCCCACGACTAATGGTATTAAAGCGCTATCTTGTGCGACGGCAACGTGCTCTCTGGGCAAGTGCATCGCCATACCCGAAACAAACTTCAAAAGTGTAACTACAGCGACCAGATTGACAAATTTAAGGATCTGAGACTATCAAAAGCAGGACGCCTCCTAGATCGACTTCATTACAGCAATCGTCCCCAATTGGTATACGCATTGTATTCGCCGACGCCAAACCGTGTTTCAGATCAACTCTTTCATCGCCCCCTCCCAATATAAATAATAGAGGTGCGCAATGAGTACCTTTTGTCAAATTCCTAGAAATTTGACACAGGTCCCATGCTCCTGATCAAAAGCGATTACATCTCTGTAAAGATCCTACCACCCTCTGCAGCCTTTGTCACCGTGACTGGGATGTGTTCAAAAGTAGACGCCCGTTACAGTTGAACCACAATTCCTGATTTGCGGCCGAATGTACAGCGACTATTCGATCGATTGGGCACCTAAGAAGTGTAACGACCAATACACGATCCGCTCGAAGTGCGTAACTCTTCACGCCTTTTATACCCTTCGTCACGGGTGCAAATTCTGTGGGAAGGGGCATACTCCAGAACAGCCAAGGACAAGGACAGAACTCCGCCACCATGCACGCCATCTCTTTTAAATTGTCAGCTAGACTGTTCACTTATAGCGTATTCGATGCATCTGGTCTCACACGCCGCGCCGACAACTACTTGATATTGTTGATCACCTCTGACTCTTGAGTACGTGCTGGCGGTACTGTCAACGAATAGTGTCAGCCGGCTAAAGTCCAGTTGTCTGGCATCTCATCTAAAGGCATCGAGGAGGCGTCCAGGAGTAATCGATAGGGCAATAAGGATACATAGAATCGTTGTGTGTGTGGCTTTTATAATCTCAGTCTTGACAGCATATAGGGGATATTTACTCCGCTAAAAGACAGAATGCTACAAGTGTAGATGGACTTGCGCACCCGCTTGACGGAGCTTCCATGCTTTATGAGAATGGCACATACCGGTGCGGAGCAGGACGTTGAGTGGAACTTCCAGCGCGACAAGCTTGGATATCGGCTGTACGTTACTATGCATACTGGATCAGTGCTACCAGCAGCCGGCTTCATTTCTGTAAGGTACTACCCGCCGCCAAGATTTACGACGATCCCGCAGCCCGGGTCAAGAATCTTACTCGTAGCGCTTAGTGGACAGTCTGCTCTCAATCTTGTCATATAACGGAGCTCGTATTCAGGCGTCCTCAGATGCATGGACGCTGGGAGATTAAACCCTTCCAGGTTGTATGGTTGTATGAATGTTATAGCGTCCGCCTCACTCGCCCAGAACGATGCGTCAAATGATAATGATGCTGCAGGATTGTTGCTGTCCTACCAGGTTCAAATAATTGAATACTTTAAGTTAGACACGGCTAATGTGAGACAGTGAGTCAGCACGGCCGCAAATGCTGTCATTCTCACGATAACACCGCGCGATCCTCCTATTATGGACTCTGGACCTCACCAAGAGTTCATTACATCTGGCACCGTTAGATGCATCACGGCTATTGTATCGAAACTGGTCGAAAACCAGTTCTAAAGGTCGTTTAATCGTTTTTGCAGTCCCAAATTCAATGGAAGGACATCCGCAGGCATCTTGCACTCGATCTGGCAGCCAAGCATGTTGCCCTACTTGAGACAAGTAAACTGAATGTGAAGCAGGCTAGAGCAAATTCGTTTGCGAAAAATCTGCTGCTGATGTAAAGCTTCGGACCACGGTCGTTCAGCAGAAACGAGTAGTGGCTATGTGAGCAAAGCAAGAAGAAAGATCTGCTTGTCAGGTGATTCAAGACCGCCGACATCAAAGGAGCTATGAAAATGCTAAGAACTGATCTATGAAGAGGGGTGGCATGTCTGGAACAGTGCACTGCAGACGATCCTGAGATAGCTCTGTACTGGATAGTGTGAACATCCTTACTTATCCACAGGTCCCATCGGCACCTTGTACGAACGATCAGGATGTGGAACCAGCCTTCTCCTGTCCGATTGACTCTTGTGGTTGTCCTTCATCTTTCTGCAGGCCATCCGCGCATGACGTTTTGATAAAATCGGCCCCTGACGAGACTCTTCGCGTTGCTAAATTGGCGGACGAAGTGGTCACATCTCCCTCTGGATCAGCATCATTTCCTTCATCTAAAATATCGGTACGCAAAGCTTACCGAACCGAATCGTCCGGCAATGTCAAAAGTCAGAGGATTAAACGCCCATGGAGGTAATTGTTGTACTTGAGGTTGTCTATCACAACAGGATATCCGCCGAGTACCGCATGAACCAGCCATGCTCCGGCTGGCTGCACAGGACTCACAAAACGGTACTGACAGCACGGGTACGAAGATTAGGAACCCAACTGGACGACACTCACGACCTTGGGGATCATTTAAGACACTGTGAGCATCGCGAGCTTTTAAATCGCTCGCTGGCGCTTTTCAGCCATCGCCACTGCGACGCACACGTTTGCGGACTGGCGCAGCATCTTGACGTCATTCACACCCGACCTTGCACAGTGGACACTTTCTTTACGACGCAATCGGGATTGCGGTGTATAAAATCGCTGACCACGCCATTCCGGAGTTATAGGAGCATGATTGGGCTGATTGAATTAAGAACCGTGTACTCACCGATCTGGACGACCGTCTCATGCGCAAAAAAACACAACTTCTAATTGATCCCTGCCAAGAGTTATGGTGATTGTATGGTACGTCGGCACCGGTGTGCATGATGACGCCTGGCCGGCTGCGCGAGATATAGCACCATACTGCGGTAGTACGTGTGTAACGGGGCACCTTGAAACTTGTACTGATGACAGTACAAGCTACTTATTCTGACGACAGAATAAGGCGGTGCCTCGTAACTTCACGTACACTGGTACGTGCAGAGGAAGACGGTAAGAAGAAGCGAGTACTTGGTTAAGGTAAAAAGTAGACCTGAATTATGATAGTTAATGTCTGTTAATAAACCACTGTTTATCCTCATCTAACTATCTGCTCACCACTCATTGCGCGCGTCTGTCGTGGCGCGTCTTCGTCGGTTGATATAATGGCCTATATCAACCAATTAGGAACTACTCGTAAGTGCTGCAGAATATTTGCCCTTATGACAATATTCTGAGAATATAACTCTTACAGTTATATTTTATTAACAATTTCTTATAAATTGTTATGTAACGGTTCACCCCGTTACATCACCCCCCCCTTAACCATCAGTCACTTTAGTGACTGATTGACTGAATGGATACTCGTCCTAAATCATATGGGACGGGGTTTTCACTTGTTGGTCCGAGTCCACAGTCCATCAGTTTCATCGCATGGTTAACACGTCCATGCGGTGCGCGAACAAGGCCGCTGAGAGCGCGTCTGCACGTCTCTGCGCGTTTGCCGAAGCAAATGTGTTATCGGCTGCTAAAGCGTCTCAGTCTGTATCATCTGGTGATGCAGACGCTCGTCATGAAGTCACTCATGTCTTCACAGAGTATGAGCTCAATGTCTCAGACTCTCCTGATACGGAAGACGGATCCGTATCGAAGGCGATCGAAACCAAGCCTCCTGCCAAGCGTGTCATGGATGATGCTATGCGTCGTAGCATCTTTGGTTCTTCTGACGAATCAGACGAACCATCGCCAAAGCGAAGGCGCTCGAGATCGCAAGACTCGGGCGCTCACAGTGGTGTCGGTTCTCCTACTGACACCGCTTCGCAACGAGGTGCAAGTACTTCTGTCGGCACATCGCAGGAAGAGCGGGACCGCAGCGTGTTGCGTCTCGCTCCCGCGAAGAAGGCATGGATGCCTCCAAAGTCAGTCATGGATCGCTTGTCGGCGACGACAAGTGATCACTATCGAACACGATTGTCCGATTCATCAAGGCTCCATCACCTTGACCCCAGTGCGAAAAACTATCGCGCTATGCATGAATTTTTCATCGATGCTTTCCTTAAAAATCGATAGTACAGTGGGAATCACAAACGGGATGGTCCCTCACTGCTTTAAGCGTGGAACGCCTACATCTATAACCTTGAGGATGTAGGTCGTGACGTTTGGAACGACAAACTTATCAAAGCTCGTGATAAGTTTGAAAAGCGAACCCCGACAGGTGCACGCTACAAGCTGCATCGTCTGTCAAGGGAGAAAGGATTACCCTGCCTCTCTTGGAGAGACTCGTGCCCATGTTGTGTGAACAACTCTGCACGAGCACCTAAGGAGGCTTACCTCCTTACTAGCCCGTGGTGGCGCGTACGTATCTCTACTGAGATGTACGAAGGGATTGACAACCTGAAATCCCTTTACGACCGTGCCGGGAAGACTTTCTCCGGCGGTACTTCTGCGGCACAAGATGTGCCGCGTCGTACTGCTCAACCAGACCCAGTACGTCAACCATCAGTTGGGAGTGGGGCTCCCAAGTATCCCAGGACGGGGGATAGCCGCGCCACCGGACGAGATAACTCGTCCGACGTCCGTTCACGTCGCGGTGGTTCAACAACTGCTCAACCAGATAGCGCTGGCCACCGCGAGAGTCCTCCAATGGAGGTGGAGGAGGAGGGAAAACGCTCTCCACACTATCGTGGGGGAGCATGAGTCCCCGAGAGCCTCTTTGATCGCGTAACTCTTGCGTTACGCGGCGACCTCGAGTATGAGCGGTACAGGCGCCTTCAACCGGCGGACACTGTCTTGAAGCTTCGAGCTGAGTTTGCCTTTGCTCAGCTTGAGAACGAGAGATCTCTGACATCTCTTCGTGACGAGCTAAGGGTAGCTCGTGGGGATATTGACCGGTCTCGGGCTGAGATGACTGCTCTTCAGACCCTTGTTGATATCCACCATCGGGAGCACAAGGCCCTCTGTGAGATGTTTGAGCTCAAGGGCGTTCTTCATCGGAAGAAACAGCGTACTGATCGTACGGCTAAAGCCGACCAACGTAAAACGTGGGATGCGTTCGCATCTTACGTAACAATTCAATCGTGTATGCATTGCCTAGGCGATGCAATACACGAAATGGGCCGATGTACTTGGGTAGTAGTTTACTGCAACCCAAGTTAGTCACTATATGCTTTGGTAGATTAACCGTAGACAGTAGGACTAAGTCACCTTTATTAAATAAAAGAGTGTTTGCCCTTCCATTCTTGTCTGCGTTTTGCTTTTGCTAATCCACCGCTTCGGCGATGGAGTCTTGCACAAAACGGACTACCGTTTCACGAGCCAGTATGAACTCACCTACTGACTCTTTAGCTTCAGTGCTCTGTGAGTGCACTGCAGCGACATCAATCTTTTCTTCAGGGAGGGCTTCCTCGCTCTCACTGGCATCATCTTCTTCGATATCGATGTTATCTATATCGGCATCAAACGCAATGACCTCTTCGTCAGAGCGTGATGAGCGTGAACCAAAGCGTTTTTTGCTCGCGCGAGTCCCCCCCCCTTAAACCAGAGTCACACTCTAGTAAGGTGGGTACAAGCGGATGGCGCAAGCCATTCACGTAAAACGGTGTATGTGTCGTGGACGCATGCACCGAGTTGTTAATGGCAAACATTACCATGGACAAGAACTCACTCCAACTCTTAAAGGAGTGTACGTATCCTCGAAGTATCTCTTCGAGGACACGATTGGCACGTTCCGTCTGACCATCTGACTCCGGATGATCAGATGTCGACATCTTCAAGCGCGTTCCGAGTAATTTGACACGGAGCGCCAGAAATCAGCAGTGAATCGTGGATCTCTGTCTGATACGAGTTCACGGGGCAACCCATGAAGTCGGAAGATGGTGTCGATAAAGACACAAGCACAGCCACTTGCTGTGATTGACTCGGGCACAGCCACAATGTGCACCCGTATGAAACTGTCAACAAAAACGAGAATACCCGTATTCTTGCGTGCGTCTTTGGGTAACGCGAAGACGAATTCCATTGAGATGGATTCCCAGCACTCTGCCGGAACTGGTATAGGCTGTAAAGGTGCACGCAGTGATGGACTTGACTTCACTCGTTGACAGACTTCGCATGCGTGAACATACGTTCGCACAAACTGATACTGGCGGGGCCAGTAAAAGTCTCGACTCGCCGTGAGATATGTTTTCTCCCGGCCACGATGTCCTCCTATAGGAGCATCGTGATACTCGAACATGATCCGCAAACGCAGATCAGTATCATCTGGAATGACAACACGTGGTGTGTCACCAGTAACGACTTTATAATACAGTAAACCGTCGCGAGTAGTGTATCGATCTGATGCAGATCGATACGCAGACGATAATCGTTTTAACGATTCTCGAGATGGCTGTGAGAGATGTGTCAACAACTTCACAACCTCACCATCTTGGGCATACGCCCGCCTCACATCATCATATAACGTTGAAGATGGTATTGAGGACGTCATAACCGCAACAGTGGCTGTCTCACTGTTGGGTTTCACGACTGGTTCAAAGTCGGGCCGACGTTAGAGTGCATCAGCGACGACATTAAGTCGTCCTGGTTTGTACTCGACCGTAAAGTTGTATTCTGCAAAGAATGACAACCACCGCGCCATTCGTTGCGAAAGGTGCGGGCTGTTCACTGCCGTGCGAAACGACGCATGGTCAGTATAAACAATGAAGGGTCTATCTCCTAATAGATAGACTCTGAACTTCGCGAGTGCATACTTCATGGCAAGGAGTTCCTTGTCATGCACTGGATAGTTCCGCTCAGCTGGTTGCAGCTGACGCGACTGATAGCAGACGACGCGTTCAACGCCTTCAAGGTCGTACTGCATTAATGCACAGCCGATTGCGAAATCGCTGACATCACAGACCACATGAAATGGCCTGTCCTGGTCGGCAATTGCTCGGACTGGGGATTGTATCAAGCTCTGTTTGATACCATCAAAGGAGCACTGACATTCAGCGTTCCATAACCACCTCTCGTTCTTTTTCAACAAACGAGAGAGGTGCACAGTCATTTTGGCGTAATTGCGTGAATACTTGTGCAAATACGCCGCTAGCCCAAGGAATTTTCGAAGACCTTTGACATCGACTGGCACAGGCCAGTCGGTGATCGTCTTGATCTTTTCGGGATCAGGACGTACACCGTTCTTACCAACGATGCACCCAAGAAGTGGTATTTCTCTTGCTGCAAATATACACTTCTTCAGATTTGCGTACAATTGATGCTTTCGCATGATTGTAAGAACCTGTCGGACGTGGTACCTGTGAACCTCAACGTCCGACTTTTCATCCATAGCCCGACTATGGATGAATACGTCATCGAAATAACTCGGCGCGAATTCTCGTACTGGTCTCAACAGATGTGATACACACCTGTTGAACGTGGCAGGGGCATTACTAAGCCCTTGTGGCATTACTAGCCATTCCCAGAGCATGCCGCTAGGCGTGCTCACTGCGGTATAGGGTATATCCCGTTCTCGCATAAGGATTTGATAGAAGCCATCCATCAAATCCATGGACAAAAAGATGGTGCACTTTGACATACCATCAATGATTACGTCCTCCCTCGGTATCGGCGTCTGTGCCGGTACCGTTGCAGCATTCAACTTATTGAATGCATGCACTATCCGCCACCCTCCTGTTGCTTTTCGCACACGGAAGGTCGGAGAGCTATGTGGGGAAGTTGATTCCCTCACATGGCCCGCAGCTAAACGATCGGCAAAGAACTTGTCGATCGCAAGTACTTGTTCACGAGGCAGTGGCCACTGCTTCATGACACAGTACTTCAAGCCTTGTTTAAGCTCGACCTCGTGTCGAGTACCTTTATCCTTCGGTAATTCGCACGGAACAGTTTCAGGGAATACATCCTTGAATTCAACCAAATCTTCATAGAGAGGATTTGTCTTGAGCGATTCCCACGATTGGGAGTCATATCGCTCAACTCGTGTCTTTTCATCTAGGACACTCTCGTCCATAGATGAACTACTGAGAACTCTCTCGTTCTCAGTAAAAATTGTTGCTGACCTTATGTCGGTTACACACTCGTCGTCAGCGACGAGTACGCAGATCTGCTTGACTTTGCCACTACGCAGATCACGCAAGAACCTTTTATGTTCGAGCGTTGGCAACTGAGTGATCTCCGAAGTCAACTTCGGAGGCGCAATCAGATCAAGTGTATAAGCGCCTACACTTGATCCGTTATTGACTATGACATTTAATGTCTCTGTCATTTCCTGGGGAATTATTCCCTCAGGCTTTAAAGGATTTATTCCTTCGGATTCCCGGGGACTAATTCCCTCGGGTTTCGGGGAACTTATTTCCGCCGTATCTGTAATATCGGGACTTATTCCCTTTACTTCCTCTAGCTGTGGTTGCGCAACCACAGCTAGATCCTCTACGAAAGACTCTCCAGTCAATCTAGGATTATTGTTTCGCTTAATCTGAGCGATCGATTGTTTCTCTTCTAGATGTTCCCCGCTAGGGATACATCTTTGTCCCGGTCCACTCGACTTATTCGAGTGGTGGACCTTCGGCGCAGCCTGTGTTTCCTCACAGCCGCCGGAACTTTGCTCCGAAGTGTAACCGTTTGGTACACTAAGGTTTTGTGCAGTCGTACTAACGACCGTACCACAAGTGAGGCCATCGCACTCACTCGTAGTACATCCACACGCTTGTGGACGCTCCAAAACGTTCATCAGATGGCCATCTGATGAACAAGCGGCAGGCATCGTTACTGTTCGATGTTGCCAGTTTACCCGTGGTTCGTACCTTCTGAGCCACGGTATTTCAAGGATGACATCAAATTTGTCATCCAAATCCAATACGATAAAGTCATCGTCATACTGGGTATCTTCTAGCGTATAGTGAATCTTCACTATACGCTTCATGACGGTTACGGATGCGCCTGTCGCAAGACGTACCGTCATCCTCGTAGGAGGTGTGTCACATTCACTGTAATTGAAGTGACCATCTTCTAGCGATTGGCGTCGCACAAAATGTTGGACGCCCCACAATCGACTAGAGCTCGAAGGGACAACTTAT